CAATCTTTTGCATTACAGGACACTTTTGGACACAGCCCAAACAAAATTATCTGTCTTTCCATGATTCTCTGTGAAACAAGCTCCATATGTTTTGGATTTCATAATGGAGAGCTTCAGTCAGTTGCTACATTTGTGCAACCTTTTTTTTTTATTATTTATGTTGTTGTTGTTGTAGTCTGCTGTAGGCTGTAGTCTATCTGACCTGCATCATTATGTGTCTGCCGTGTAATGACCTCCTTAAGGTGGCTGGAAACTAAAAAAGGAATTTAAACCTAAAGAAAATGGACTGAAAGAAATGGATTTGAATCTGAAAATATAAAATCTAAAACTGCAATAAAAAAAGAAATAAAAAAGAATAACAAATTAAAATACTAAACTGAATTCTTAGTTTTTTTTAAGCTGAGGGGTAAAATTTAGATTCAATTCTTATTATTTTATTATCGGTTTTTATAGTTTTTTCCGATTCTAAGTAAAAATTAAACTTTCAACATCAACTTGTAATTTGGAGGTTTAACTTTTATTTTTTCACTTTCAATAATTTAGCAATTAAGTTTAATTGTCCCCCCTCTCTGACTCCATACTTTCCTACCCTGGATAGTGTCATTGTTCGCCCTGCAAAAGGTAAAAGGAGCTAAGAACAGCAGGTAGGAGCTACGATTTAAGGCAGGAGTGACCAATCAGCAGCGTCCAAATAAAGAAAATCATCAACCAGTAAAGGTCTGGAGACATTTTTAATGATCTGTTACTTTAAACAGACTTTAACACTGAAATAAAAAACAGGTTTTTATGCATCCATGTTATACATTGAAATTTTAAATAAAAGATATATATATAATACATAAAAAAGAAAATTTTTCCATTTTAAAATCAAAATTGTTTCTTAAAGTAGAGATCAACAATCGTTCAGTTTGTTTTTTAGATAATTTCCTGATTCCCATATTTTCTCAAACCCCTGAACTGATGGTTTGTTATTTTCTTTCTTTTTTCTGTCTTAATGTTGGCAGTGGGCTTTAGGCTGCCCTGCAAGGCTTTAAACCTGGGTTTAACCGGAGACTAAGCCATTCTCAAGCACATATCAAGGAGCTCATTCTGAGTCATGACATGTCTTTGGCGCTATAGGAATAAACTGAATTAAATTAACACTTGAGAAAAGGCGGAAAATTGTAAACGAACCTTTATACTTTAAAACCTTTTATATCTTATTGGTTTTGTTTAGATGACAGATTTATTGATCTTTAAGCATTCAGCCATGGGAAATAGAGACATTTTCTAGATATCTGTTCCTCTGACTGAATAATTTTCTCTCCAATGGGAAGCTTTCACTTGGTGAGTGTTTCTTACGGAGTCGCCTCTCCCGGTCGTCGCGTTCTCCCTCCGGCTTGCGCCTGCATTTGCAGCACAGACTCTTCAGTACGATGTAGATGTGGG